CATGGACCTCCAGTTACATGTGATTGTGAGCCACCTGATGTGGGTGCTTGGCTCTGAACTCAGGTCCTCCGGAAGAACAGCAAATGCTCTTCACCTGGGAATCATCTCTTTGGTCCCCAGCTTCCTCACTCTTGAACGTCAGCCTTTCTATCTAGAGCTGTGAATGCTATGTCCCAGCCAGCCAAGCCCACTTCCATTTCCTTGAGGAGATGTTGGGCTTCCTTCTCTCTTGTTCGGACCCTTGGCCCCTGCTTCTTCTTGGAGCAACACTGGCCTGTTCTCCCTCTTGCCACTGGGAGAACTCAGCATCCCCGGGGCCTCAGCAGTGACTTCCTTGGCGAATCCTGCTGACCTTTCCAGGCGCTTCCCGGTGCCCTTGAGGAATCTGACCCTCGTGCTGATGTCCCTTCCTTCCTTCTCAGCACCAACCCTGCTAGTGACCTCGGTCTGTCTGTCTGTCTGTCTCTGTCTGTCTGTCTGTTGTTTTCCCCACTCTACCTGAGGCTTGAGGGAAGGCAAGGGCATCTTGATCTTGCTCATGGTTAGGTCTCCCTCCAGCCCTCTTAGAGTAAATATCATCAGAGAAAAAAAATGGTAAGGCCATATTTGCCTCTACGTTTTTATGGTATTTGGCGAAGTTGCCTGGAAGATGGCATTTGGTAACAAAATGAAGCCATTATTTTTGGACCTTGGAAGCCAAGGTTGGCATACCTGGGGGCTACTGTTTTTCCTGTGGCTGCTTCAGAAGCTAAGAAGGAGGCAGCTGCCTTTCGCTGCCCACCAGCCATGCCCCAAAGGTCTGTTTGTCTTGAAGGGACTAATTATAAGTCACCTCGGCAGTGATTTTTGACCATGGGACTCTCTGTACCATCAACAAACACAGGACCAAATATTCCTCCTCTCCAGTGGGTTTGTGCAGGGCTTAAACACCCTCCAGGCCTTGTTATTTGGGGCGATGGACAGATGCCATGTTCATGTAACTTCAGCAATGGATAAGGACTTTGTTTTTAATCAAGAACTGCACACATTTTGCCCCAGTAGGAATTGGCTGTGGTGCTTTTGAATGTGTTGATAAATTTTGGCATTTGTCCATCTTTGGAGAGAAGCTAGAGCTGAAACTGAATTGAACCTTTGTCTTCCGCAAGTGGCTGTTTAGGACCCAATCACCGAAATACATTTATTTTGAGTGTTTTGGGTGATAAGAAATTTTCTTTTCTTTTTTCTATTTTTTTAATGTAGTTACTCCTCTCTCTTTTTAAAACCCTCTTTCATGATATAAAGCAAGTTTTTTTTTTTTATTTGTTTGTTTGTTTTTTTAAACTGGTACCTATCAGGTGGTAATTTGCCAGTTAGTCTAAGGTAATAAGAAACTCGAATTTGGATTGGACTCAGTTCCATTAGGGCAGATTTACATTTTTGTGAAACAGGGGCTATTATCCTGGTGGTTGTAAGGGATTTTTGTGCTGGGCGTCGAGGCTGACAAAGACCACACTGTGCATGCTCCATCTAGAAGGGAACACTTTCACACTGCAATTTGGGAGCTGTGCAGCTCAGGAAATTGCCGGCTTTGGCTGGACCGTACTTTTACTGCAAGGAAAATTTTATTCGTCACTCAAGTAATTGGCAGTTTTAAGACCTTGTTCATAATTACCTTATAAACAAACGAATATATAAACCAAAGATTGTATGGCTTGTTATCTGACTTGCAGCCTTTATGTGACCAACATGATAGATACCTGTGGCCCTCCCTCTCCCTGCCTCAAAAAACTAATTTGCTCCATTTATTACAAAAAAAAAAAAATCTAATAATAGCAAAACCAAACACTACACCTATTGTTTTCTTTCTGTTGTTGCAAAATACTATTTAAGTCTCGGTAGGCTAGCCCCAGACAGTATTGGCCCAAACCAGGTACAGACTTGAAGGGAACTGTGAGACAGATAGGGTGGGTCTGGGCACTTCAGGGCTGCTGGGCAGCTGGAGGAAGGACATCCTGGTGACAGAAACATCAGGCTATGTATTTGGGAGAAAATCTCTCTCCCCCAAACTGTGGTTTTGTTTTGCCCTTATACCCGACCCGAAGGCCTCTTGGCTTGTCTTGGACTGCCTCCATCTCCGGGACCTAGAAATTGACTGACTGTGGCACTAGCATGAGCCTGTACCTCACAGCTAGATCAAGGAGTTTGTACCCCGGCAGATCCAGATGTGGGAAATCCAGATGTGGGAAACGGTCAAAACCAGAGGTCACGGCTGACTTGACTCTAAACAAAGTCTGTAAGGCTTTATGGGGATCCAAGGGGCTTTGTAGTTTGTGACTTGTGTGTAGGACTGGTGATTTCTTTCTTTCTTTTTTTTTTTTTCTCTTTGAACTTGACTATCATCTCGGCTTTTAAGGTATACTACACATTGTGAGCTTGTTACCCCGTGTGGGATTGCTTTTGGTGGAGTTACACTCTCTGATGGTTTGGGTCTTGAAGATCAAACATACAATACCCTAAAGTCCTTAAAAGAAATACTAAGGGTTGTTAACTGTCATTTGAGAAGTTACTGAATGTGTTGCTTCGAGCCTGCCCGCCCGGTGTCTGTGGGGTTCCCTCCTCCTTGCTTGTTGTAGAGAAAGCAGCATCCGGCATTTGCAGCATCAGGAAGTCAGCCTTCCAACTGTAGGGGGCGCTGGACACACAAATCCCTGGAGGGCCTGGCCTGTCTGGGAGAGGTGATTGAAAGGGACCCTGGCTATGCCTCTGATGAGGGGTCCGGGGGCCAGTTGGATTTCCACATCAGTTTGAAACTAGAAGTTGAGGGTGTTTTTTTTTTTTAAATTTTTTATTATTATTATTTTAATTTTTGTCAAGGTAAGAAGTAGCAGCTCTTTCTGAAGGGACGTGTGCAGTGAGAATTGAATTTCCAAAATATCTCTGACGCTCTGTGTTCTGTGAACACAGAACCCTGGGATTGTGAGACTTGCTGTGTGAGGTGGCTCAGAAGTGACCGGACTGGTTATACAAAAAACCTCTACTTTCCCGACCATTAGATTATTAGATTATTTGTAAAAGAGAAATTATTTTATCATTCAACGGCTTAACATATGAAATGAGTTTAATGTGTGGGGCACCTAAAGTGTGCTCACCATTATTTCTGGTTTCATCACATTTCAACACAGTGTCGTGAACACGAATTCCTGCCTCAGAGGAGTTTGCAGTATGGCAGAGACCTGGGGTGTGCATGGGATGATGTGATGCAGCGTAGGATTTGGGAGCCCATCTAAGAGATCCCCCTAACCTCTGAGATGGAGAGATGTCTCTGAGTTATTAATAAAAGCTTAATAAACCCAAAGCACTGCAAAAATCCAGGTTTTGGTAAGTGACGTAACACACACGAGGGATGTTTTCCCACTAAGGAGAACACACACACACGAGATATATTTTCTAATTTCCTTGGGAAGAGTTACTGCCAACCATACATAGAAGTACTGGGGTGAGGGTTTTGTCAAATGCAGAGTCCTGTGTGCAGTGCTCAGATTATCACACTGTTCCTGGGGTTGTAAGGAAAAACCCCTTATTATGATTGTTTCTGGCTTTTTTACTTTAACGTGTTGTAAGTGACAATTTTGTTAGAAAACAGGAGTGAACTGAATGTACAGGCCAGCTCAACGGTCACACAATTTCAGGCACTGTGTCACTTAGGGCTAAATTTCCCCTTGGAAGCTCTAGTACCTGTGTCCGTTTGTAAGAGCTTGACTGGGCACCCCACCCCCTCTCCCCATTTGAAACGCAATAGAAAACTGGTGGGACTGTTCTGTGTCATTCGATGCAATCAGGGATGCTGACTATTGCGCTCTTGAAATATAGGTGCTGTAATGAAGGAACACTTTGTTTGTTTAAGACATGGTCTTTTTTTAATATAGCCAAGGCTGACCCAGTTCTTCTGCCTCTGCTTCCTGAGTGCTGGAACTAGGAGAGTGTGCCCCGTGCTCACTAACATTTACTTACGTGTGAGTGTTGCAGGTTGTGTATGAGTGTATGTACGTGTGTGTACATTTACGTTATATGTAAAGAGTTATTCGTAGCCAGTGACTACCATTGTGGTCTACTTTGGTCTGGTATTGAGGACTGGTAATGTCAAGCATGTCTTAATATACCTGTGTCTAGAGATTGTTCAGGCTGGTTGCTCTTCTGGGATACAGTTGTAAGGCAGAAAGCCCAGTAGCTCTTCTCTGGTATGCAAGTCTCTAGTGGCTTAGTAACTTGCAGTAAAAACAGGTGATCCTTCCAGCCGGGCACTAAAGCAGCCACAGGGTGATGCGTATTGGGAGTTGATTGGCACCGTGGTGTGAGGGCACTTTCTAAGGAAAGAATCAGATTGGGAATCAAGAAGAACTAGGGCTGGCTAGATGGTCCTGAGGGTAGACGTACCTGCCATGCTCACCCAGATCCCGTGGAATCACATCAAAGTGGAAGGAGAAAATTTGACTCCATAAAGTCTCTTCTGACCTCAACATGTGTAGCCCTCTCCCACTAGTAGTGATAAATACAGTAAGTTTAAAATGTGTGTGTGTGTGTGTGTGTGTGTGTGTGTGTGTGTGTGTGTATTAAGAATTGGGAAGGAAGATATATAATATACATGTATATGTTAGGAATGGGGAATGAGGGCAGTGTGGTCTGGTGTGCCCACTCGGCGCTAGACATTTCCTTTACTATCTAATAAAACTGGAGGAATTGGAAAAATAATCTGAATGAAGAAAGGTCAATCCATTGTGTTTACGTGCATGGCAATCATCTCCGCTTACTGCCCTGTCTGATTTGCGTGGGACCGCTCTTCATCTGCTCTCGTAGGAACTCAGAGCATGCATGGCCATGGGGTTGCCGTTCGCCTTTGAGAAGTACTGCTTAGCGCCACTAGGTTTTCATACTCCTGAAGGACAGGTCAGGAAGAGGCGCAGCGCTCTTCCCACGCTGCTTTGTGCGGTTGACCTGTTACCCGGGCTGTGTTTTCATTTCAGGGCCGGGAACAGCATTGATGAAATCGTCCCCGAGCAGCTGGAAGCCTTTCAGTCCCTCGAGGCCTTGGACCTGAGCAACAACAATATTTCAGAACTCAGAACTGCATTTCCGCCCTTACAACTCAAGTATCTGTAAGTATAAATTACCAAAGCCTTTGACCCGCAGGGAGAATATGGTTAGAATAGGGGTGAGCTTTAAGATACAGCAAACTCAGTTTTACTGTCGTTGGATTAAAATGTAACTTTAAAAAAAAAAAACTTATTTAAATTCATTTTATGTGCATAAGTGTGAAGGTGTCAGATCCTCTGGAACTGGAATTACAGACAGTTGTGAGCTGCCATGTGGGTGCTGGGAATTGAACCCAGGTCCTCTGGAAGAACAGCCAGTGTGCTCTTAACCACTGAGCCATCTCTGCAGCCCCCAAAATGTATCTTTCTTACTGAGTTGAAATTGGCATGAATAGGCACAATCTCCTTTCTTACAATTTTGTATCACAATTAAAAAAAAAAATATGCCCCAAACTAGACCCTTGCTGTGTTTTTATTAATAACTAATTCCAAACAATGTCTCTATGTATCTTTAATGGACATTTGTAACCTTGAAAGATGCCGGTCAGTCTTTCCTGTCAGGATGTGTGTGTTGCTTACTTTACTTGCAGCTGTCACTCAGTTCCTGGCAGGAACCCATTTAAAGGAGGGCGGGACTTAATTTGACTGACAATTTGAGGGTACAGTCCATTGTGGCAGGGAAGAAGGCATGATGGGAGAAGTGGCAGGCAGCCCTGCCACAGTGTGGACAGGAAGTCAAGCCAGACCATAAGACCCCCGAGTCTCGCCCCCTGCAGTCTACTTCTTCTAGCTAGGCCCCGCCTCCCAAAGGCTTTACCGCCTTCTGAAAGAGTAGCTGTGCTGGAGAATAAGTGTTGGAGTGCATGAGCTTGCACCACGCATTTTATATTAAAGCCGCAGTGCGTGGATCTTTTTATTTATTATTTTTCTGGTACTGGATATAGAACCCAGGGCTTCTTCGTACATGCCAGGCGAGGATCCTGCCAGTGAGCCAGCATGCCAGCCCATATGTATAAACCTTAATTTGTTTACAGGGACCTCAGTGTTGAAAACTTTTAAGTACCCACTGATGGTCAGGTTCTCTGGAGAGCTTTTGCAGCGGGGAAATTGAATGCACTCTGACTTCCCATAGAAACCTGAGCAAACCTCTGACCTTCAAACTCTCAACAGGTATATCAATAGCAACCGAGTTATGTCCATGGAACCGGGATATTTTGACAACTTGGCCAGCACCCTCCTGGTGCTGAAGCTGAACAGGAATCGAATCTCAGCCGTGCCCCCCAAGATGTTTAAACTGCCCCAGCTGCAACACCTGTAAGTGCAGTAGCCCCTTGGATATCACGTCCTCACCTCTAAACCTTGGGCGTCTTTTATTCCGATGCCCACAGTATGGCGGGAGAAGTTTAGGGGAGAAGCAGGTAACTGCCTTCCCCTCTCATGGCGAGAGCGGTGGAATCTCCAGATTGGGAAAAGGCTTTCCCGGTTATCTCATGCCAGCCGCTGCCTGACAAGACATGTTAGAGGGCCGCTGAGGGAGCAAGCCGCATGATGACTGAGCGGGCCCCTTCACAAAGGTGTCATTGTGGACCTGGGGAAACCACAGGGTCTCTCAATAGCTGTGGTTTGTGAGAATAATACCAACAACTCCAGGACGCTTTGATAGCTAAGTGGTTGGAGAGAACCGTCTTGTTCAGGACGGTAGACTGGTTTGTGAACGGGCTCCCGCAGTGGTGCTTTTCAACCTTGGCTGCGCATTCCAGAGACTTGGGGAGCTTTTCAAAGCCCCAGCACCCGGGCTGCACCCTTCACCAATTATACTAAAACCTCTAGGGGTTGCAATTTGGGCTTTGGGAACTTTTAAAGCTCCCTAGGTGGTTCCAGTGTTCAGCAGAATTAGAGAGCTGCAGCCTGCAGGGAAGCACCAAGCTGAAAACTAATCTGGAATGACGGTAACCGACTTTGCATGCAATCTGGAGCGGGGTTTCTGTGCCGCTCTTGCGAAGACCTCCTGGCACGATTGTCGCTCTAATTCTGCATCCACAGAAGATGAACACCAGTTTGTTTGCTGCTACCCTTAGCGGACAACAGTGTAGAAATGAAAACCTAATGTACTTCTCATATTATTCCAAAAATATATCATGCGGTTTTACACAAACATTCACCACTCCCACCTCCCCATAATAAATTGAAAAAAAAAAATTCTTGTCAATAAAAAGTCTGGGAAATTTAAAAGCATTCTGTGTAGTTTAGCACTGATTGGGTTAAATATGTTGTAGTAGTATATGACACATTTTATTACCACCTCTGGAATTTTATTGTCATATGAACTAACTGCTTAATCGTAACATCCCATGCAGTGAACTGAACCGAAACAAGATTAAGAACGTGGATGGACTCACATTCCAAGGGCTTGGGGCACTGAAGTCTCTCAAAATGCAAAGAAATGGAGTAACAAAGCTTATGGATGGAGCTTTCTGGGGTCTGAGCAACATGGAAATCCTGTAAGTGTGGGTTATCACGGTTCCCACTCAGATGGAATGACCCTAGAGTACTCGGTACTCTTATTGAAGACCCTCCGTCGCTCTTATTGAAAACCCACATTAAATTCTCATACTGTACGATCACAGCTGTAATTTGTGACTCAGTGACGTTTCAGACGATCTGAGAATTTGGAAGCACATAAATCTTTCGCTGATGTCTTTATATATCCAAGCCAGATTATCTAGGCACATGAGGGAGACGTCATGGGTTGCAGGCAGCCATGCGTGTCGAGACTAGATTATGAACTCCGGATCCCATCTTTGGCTCTCGTTGTACCTGTAGGCAGCTAGACCATAACAACCTCACTGAGATCACCAAAGGCTGGCTCTACGGCTTGCTGATGCTGCGGGAGCTTCATCTGAGCCAGAATGCCATCAACAGGATCAGCGAGGATGCCTGGGAGTTCTGCCAGAAACTCAGCGAACTGTAAGTTGCCTTTTATTGTCCTCGGGTTCGGGAGCAAAGATCGTGCTGGAACAAGAGGTCCTTACCACGGATCCGTGGAATTTTCATAACAAAGTTTCCCAGGTGACGGCCACTTTCCTGAGTGCCCTCTGTTGTCCCTGCATTTTTGGTTGTGATTAAGTCGAAGCCAACTCTGCTCTCTTTGGCTCTGTGGCACATTGATAAAAGCAGTTTCATGGGCTATTTATTTAGTTTTAATTGCTGAGATGAGAAGGAATGCTTACCTGGATACTGTGAGGGCAGAGTGTTAAAACAGGATTATGGTAGTTAACATTTTTTTTTTTACCACCTCCCTTTTAGAAAACAGATTATTGTATTGAATGGAAAGGGAAAAGCTATTTTTGTTGTTGTTGTTCTTTGCAGGGACCTAACTTTCAACCACTTATCGAGGCTCGACGATTCCAGTTTCCTTGGCCTAAGTCTGCTAAATACCCTCCACATTGGGCACAACCAAGTCAGCTACATTGCGGATTGTGCCTTCCGGGGGCTTTCCAGTTTAAAGACTTTGTAAGTTCCACATTTTGCTCTTGGTACACGAACCTAATTGGTTCCTAAATGCGCCCACTTTTCTCCCGGCAGATTTCCTTTGTTGTTGAGGAAATGCGTGCAGCCTCTAAAGTGGGGGTCTTAATCTTTCCCAGAGCAGTTTGATTAGAATAGAGCTATTTCATCCATGTGTGTTTCTTAAAGGGATTAAAAAGTACACTGATCAGACTGCCCGGTGATTGCAGCCTTCCTTCGCAGGATCACTAGGAAGTTCAGAACTGTTAAAAGAGAGAAACAATTTTAAGTCCACTATTTTTTTTTCTTTATAAAACATAGATTAAAAAATAACCCAGAGCAAAAAAAAAAAAAAAAAAAGTTATAGGAAGGTGAATGTTGGCTCTTCTGGTTAACCACAACCTGATTTCTTTCCTAAGGGAAAGAAAAGTGTGGAATTAACTGGTTGTTTGAAAAATCTCTCCAATGTCAGCTGCATGCTTTGGCGCATGTCTGTTTGTGTGATGGGAACTTGGTTTTAAAATTTAATGTATTTTTCAAGTTGTTTGAGACTGCAGGGTTTAGCCATCTTGATAGGAGATTTGACAGGGCTGGGTTGCCTGTCTTGGTTTGGGGGAAAAGTTTCAACTGTTGAGTGCAGAGTTCAGGATATAAGGGGCACCTTGGAGAACTGTGTTTCTTCTTCTGAAGTGGGTGGAACTGGTGGGGCAATTAGGAGGACTCTGGGCACACCACCTGGGTGATGGTGTGAGGTTTCTGAGAAGTATGTCTAAGGAGAACACTGTGTTTTCATTAGGGATCTGAAAAACAATGAAATTTCATGGACTATTGAAGACATGAATGGAGCCTTCTCTGGGCTGGACAAATTGAGGCGACTGTGAGTATAATTTGCCTCTTAATTTGCCTCCTCTATGACTTAAGATTATTGTCTTAATTGAAGTCAGATCCACAAGCTGACATCATAGAGACATTAGAAGTAGATATGTCATCTGGTTGCACCCTAGATCCTTCCTCCAGGTGCGTGCTATTGCCCGTGATGTGTGCGTATCAGTTAGCTTTTCTTCCTTGAGTGAAAGGAAGAAATTTCAGTCCTGGGATTTGTCTAATTCATTTTGATATCTAGATAAGAACTTGAGATTTATTCTGACTGCTACCCATTAGGAATGACCACCCTGTTGAAGGGAGTGTGTCTGGGCCAACCTTTAGAAAACCCCAACAGTGTGCTATGACCATGAGCTCTCAAGGGAAGCAGTCCACCGTCCATCAGTCACCCTGCATCAGGGTCCACGAAGGATGCAAACACTTGACAGTCAGCCCCGAAAGGGTCTTGTAGATCGTTCTGTTTTCAGTTGGTGATGAAGGGTAGCCACAGAGAAGAGGGGAGCAGGCTACGTCCTGGAGCAGCGTGATTCCCCAGAGGCACCGGCTTAGCGCCTGTATTTGCCGAGTGTGTCAATCACTCCTCTGTTGCTGTGGTAAAATGCCGTGACCGAAAGCAGCTTAAAAGTTTTGTGTTGGCTCACCATTCCGGACAGCTCCATGTCCGTGATGGGAGGTCAGGCATGGTGGCGGCAGCAGGAAGCTGGGAGGCCATGTCTCTGCGGTAGTGAGCTGGAAATGGGGCACGCTGTCAACCCACCAGGCCCGCCCCCCAGTGATGTCCTTCCTCCAGCAAGGCTTCAAATCCTCAAAGTCCTGTAACCTTCACAAACAGAACGGCCAACTGGGGACCGTGTGTTCAAGTCTGTGAGCCCGTGGAGGCATTTCTCACTCAAGCTCCTACGTGGAGGTGTCTGTTGAATGCTTTGAAACCCATGTTAAATCATGTGACTGAACATGACATCAGGGGTCTGGTATTTCAAGTCACATCGTCTCCTTGAAGAAAACAGTATTGTTCACAAAGGAGAATGGTCCCGTTTATAAGAGTTCTGCTCCTTAAATGGCTTTTTAAAAATTTATTACAATGTGATTGTTACCCTCTCCCCCTCCTACCCTCCAGAATACTCCAGGGAAACCGCATTCGATCTATTACCAAAAAGGCCTTCACTGGTTTGGACGCCCTGGAACACCTGTGAGTACCTGGAATTGAGTTCCCCTAAGGGTGGTCCCAGATGGTTTCTGTTTATGACTCCTGAAATATGAAACCAACAGCCTCTGCCGACATCTTCCCTATACTATAAAACACGTTTGCTCATCTACCTATCATCTGTCAGTCTTGCTTCCTATTTATCTTCTGGAGTTTACCTCTGTGTTTTCTCATACCTTTGAGAACATCGCTCTGCTTGCCGTGTTTATTCGTCTTTATAAGCGGTGGCAACTTTTTAAAACAATCTACCATGTATTGGGCACTTCTCATAGTCTGGTCATTTTGCCAGGTCCTGAATATATAAGTATCTATTGTTCCATTTAGTATGTGCAGGAATATTGTTCAGCAACCGTTGCCGTCTTTTTAAACCGTTAAATAGAGTTCCTGAAGATTCATGGGTTCTTTTTTTTTTTTTTTTTTTTTTTGGTTTTTCGAGACAGGGTTTCTCTGTGTAGCTTTGCGCCTTTCCTGGATCTCACTTGGTAGTCCAGGCTGGCCTCGAACTCACAGAGATCCGCCTGGCTCTGCCTCCCGAGTGCTGGGATTAAAGGCGTGCGCCACCACTGCCCGGCTCATGGGTTCTTTTTTAACAGTGAGGACGACTTGAATTTTCAAAAAGATCAAAAAACTGTCCTTGAGAGGGCCGCCGTGATGGAGATCTGTCCCGAGAACCTTTGTTGTTGCTGTCCCTTGCTGTAGCGCGGACAAACCAGCTTTCTCTCTTACTCCCCACACAGCAGTAGGGGATTGCTAGGAAAGCACAAGATTAGGATTTCTCTGGCTTCAGAAAGGCCCTTTAGCCCTTGACTACTCAATCCATGCCCTGTCTTCGGGAACCTTTGGCACCCATTTCTGAAATGAGATTTCAGGGTAGAGGGCTTTCAGTTCTAAAAGAAAACACTGAACGTGGGGAGTATGGCTTAAATAATTACGACAACTGACCCAGCCGGCTGTGACTGTTAGCCTCACATTGGTTCACATTTGGATAGTCGGATCACAGTTGAGCTTACAGTATGCTTGCTCCATGGAGGAATGCTTGTAGCCAAAAGTCCTCCCGTATGTTAACTCGGACAAATGTTACCATTTAAATACACACTCGGGTTGTACCTCACGCAGACTGTGTATTTGGGTATTGTCTATCAGCTACCGCGTGGGCACCTCCCAGCTGTACCCGTTGTTCTGAGAGAGACACACGGATGGCCAGCCCCACAGACAGCGCCACAGTTGGGAATTGCAGAATGAGTCTGCAGAACTGAGCGCTGCCAGGCCAAGCCGGGATCCCGGCTGTTATTGAGACAGATTGTTTTCAAAGGAAAGCTAGCCAAAGCGTTTGTCAACTGGCCCGTTCCGTTTCTGGGAAAGTGGAATTAGTGGATCAGCGGAGTATTAACCTCTGCTTCAATTTTCTCTAACCTCCCCTGATTGTCCTCGACTCTCTCCCTACCCAAGTCCGGCACCTCCGTTCTTTGTTTCCTAGTCTACGGGGTCTCGTTTTAAACCCACCCCCTTATATGCTGTGAACTGTGAAGACAGGAAAAAAAAAAAGAAAAAGAAAAAGTAACCGTTGTGGCTGGTAGTTTAATTCAGACTGCTTTAAGGTACTAGTTAAAAATAAAGTCAACACGGAGTATCTTCTCATTTGGTGGATGACCTGCCTGGAATCTTATTTGCTGTAATGAAGGCATCTCACCTGCACATCGCTGCTTTTGCCAGTGGTGAGCTGCGTGTGACGAAATCCAGGCTGGAGGAGAAAATAATGGGCTCAGCCGTCTCCATCCCCTCTTGTGCCAAGAGACGTAGGTCGGCCATCTTTCTCTGGGTCGCTTTAGGAATGCCTGCATTAATGGATATCGAAACACATCGCAGAAAGTGGGCTAGAGAAGATGTTTTTTTTTAAAAAAAAATGTGCAGTCATTAGGTTGCACACTTCATTAACAGCAAATTTGAATAAATGAGAAATAAACAGGCAGATCAGCCAGAGCCCTCGAGGAGTCAACGCCCTGGGCGTGGTGACAGAAATGATACCCCCCTCCCCCTCCGTGACTGAACCCATCTCTGGGTTCTTTGGTCAGAGCTTTCTGGGGGATTCCACTGCGATGGTCCCAGTCACACGTTTCAACATGGAGTACTTGCTTGCTGAAGCGGGGGTGTGGGCAGTGGGGTGTGGCCCAGACCTTAAGGACACATCCTGGCCATAGTTCACTCTGACGTGTCTGATTTGGCTGTTTTCCAGGGACCTGAGTGACAACGCCATCATGTCTCTGCAGAGCAATGCGTTTTCCCAAATGAAGAAACTTCAGCAACTGTAAGTGTTCCCTTTTTCTTCTTCTCCGGTTTCACATAAAGCCCCAAAGGGGAGCTGTCATGTGATATGTCATCCAAAAAAAAAAAAAAAAAAGCATCTAGCGCATTCTTGACATGATTGATGTTTAAACCAGGAAACAGGGGAAGTGGGTTATTTGTCCCCTTGGTTGCGACTGGAATTTCTTTTGCTCTCTGTTTTGAATTTGCAGCTTACGTCTGTGGGACCATATATAGTATGGTTCCTAAATATAGTTCTCATTTTGCATTAGTTAGGAATTTTGATGTATCAGCACTTCTGCCTCAATAGGACAATAAGAACAACAGAGTCCAAAGGTCCCGCTGCTCGCTCAGTGTCTTGCATTCTGAGGTAGACTATGGAATATTTACAACATCGTGCATTTAGTTTCCAAATTCCTCACTTGGTTAATACTTACTTAAGTTTGATGGACCTGTAGAAGAAATCTGCATTTCATACAAAACAAACTGAATGTGATTCCTCTCCTCAGGCATTTGAACACATCCAGCCTCTTGTGTGATTGCCAGCTAAAATGGCTCCCACAGTGGGTGGTGGAGAACAGCTTTCAGAACTTCATCAATGCCAGTTGTGCCCACCCTCAGCTGCTCAAGGGGAGAAGTATTTTTACTGTCAGCCCAGATGGCTTTGTGTGCGGTGAGTAAAAGCATCATCCTCGATTTTCATTAATTTTTTTTTCTCCCATTTAATTTGTCCAAATAATGGTTTTGAAGAGATTCGTGGTTCTCTGAATAGACCTTTGCTTTCTGCTGAGGTTGACGAAGTGGATGTAGAGGTGGCCGCCCGTCAGCATTTTACAGACACTGGTGGAGTTCACCGACGTGTGTCTTTGTATTTGTTTTACCATCAGCATGGTTTGGCGGCAAGAAAGAAGTCAGATCTTGAATGAGTTGGGCCCGACTCTTCTTCTTCCGCTTCCGCCAACCGTCCTCTGTGCCCAGTTGTGGAGGCGTGTTACCGGCCTTTGATGCTGGTTCCGTAGTTGGCATATTAACAGCCGCCTGTGGTGGTGTGGCATTGACGCCGCTCTCTTGATTTTGCTGCTATTATTTTTAGAGACCGTGGGAAAAAAAAATGGCAGTTCCTAGTAGTAGCTTTCAAAGATGGTCCCTGATCCTAGGCGTTGCATTTCTCCTGTGTGGAGATCATGCCCGGGGCCTTGTGTGCCCCGAGCAAGGGCTCCTCCACCGAGTGGCATCACCAGCTCCCCCACTCCTCACTGTTCTGTGTGTTTTTAATTTTGGAAATGTGGGGTCTCACTGAGTTGTTCCGGGTAGCCCGGAACTCACCACAGTGCAGCTTCCTAAGTAGGTGGGTTCATAGCTACCAATCCAGGGAACCTGCAGGCATCTTAACTGCCGTTTGCCCCTTTTTAAAAATCAATATTCTGTTTTAAAAAATTATTTTCACCCATTCATATATATATGGTATAAATGTCTTCCCCCATTACCCTTTCTCAGCCTTTTCCCCCCTGCCCACCAAACCCCCTTCTTCCAGAATCCAGCCCCTGCTTTCGTGTCTTTTTTGGTGACCCACTGTGTTTAGTAAGTATCGTCTGTGTGAGCATGATTGGTGCATTATTTACTGGTGAAAGGGCAAGGCACGGTAGCCACCTGACTGCCCCCCTCCCTCAGCAACTCTGGCTACCTATAGCTCTCAGGGAGGGGTGGGGCCCTCAGTAAGCTCCTCCCCCATCCAAGATGGCCGGGTCCTGTGGTGCATTTCTGCAGTTTGCTTTCTGCTCTTTAACTCTGGGGTTTGTTGAGAGGCATGGAGGGAAGGAAACTCAGTAGCCAAGGAATTAGGACTGCTGAGACATTAAAACCATTGGTGGGTAAAGGCTTAGGAGGAAAGGCAAGTTTAAATTTATTGTTAAATCATTTTAAGATCCATTGTCCTAGCAAACAAGAGATTCAGTGTTTGAAATCCTCTTACCCAGTGTTCCTCTGACTAGTGAGGAACAAGACCATGGTTAACAAACAAAGTTCCCGTCACCGATACAGTTTTCTGTCATAATACCAGACAGCTCTTTACTCTTGGCTGCCAGGGAAGCCTTCACAAAAATGAATGTGTGTATAAAAACACAAAATCAAAATTTGCCTAAAGTTCAGGCATGTGTGAGAAGAAACTATAGGCCAGCATTTTACCCTGGCATTTAAAACATGACTGCACACTGCTTTGCTTTTTTGATGTATGTATGTATATCAGGTTGCAGAATTTAATGGTGCCAGCAATTTTTGGAAATAAAACCTCTGATGTCGGTTTGGGAACCAAATAAGCTTTTGGCAGTCATCCACCCAGGGCCTACGCTGCTCCTTCTCCACACTCTTCTTTATCTCACAGTTCCCTCGCCCGGATATACGAACTCTGGGACTGTGAGACAAACCCAAATGCTTCGTCTGTAGTGCTTGTTTGTTTGTTTGTTTTTGTTTTTTTCCCTTCTCCATTGTGAATCAGAACACTGATTTCTGGGATGGACATTTCAAAGAATCACACGGAAGAAACTCCTGTTTAACAACCCACAGGCATAGGGTTGGAAGCTGGCAGCCAAGCCGTGGTCAGAGCAGCGCCTTGCTTCCTTCCGTTCAGGGTCCCTCTGAAAGCTTGTGTTTTCAGATTCTCCGTTATCCGGACATCCATGTTGGGAGATCTGGTAGTTTCCCTCCAGGGTTTATTTAGGCCATCTCTGAGAAACTGAAGTTCAAAAAAGGTAACTACTTCCAAAAAGTAACAGAGAACTAAAAATAACTGCCTGGAATGAGAGGGTTGCCCAGCTCTAATTATAATGTAGCCCGACAGGCTGTGCAGCAGCCTGATTGATGGACTGTCCCACTTCAGGCCCCAGCCAGTGTGCTAGCTCGCACATGCTTTTTCATCTGTTTGATTTATTTTTGGCTTTTTTGTTTGTTTGTTTGTTTGCTTTTTGTTCATTACCGTCTTTTCTTAATTTATTTGTGTATGTGTATGCCGGTCTATCTGCTTGTGCGTCGTGTGTATTCAAGTGCCCATAGGGCCAGAAGAGGAATCAGAACTCTATAGAGGCAGTGAGGAGCTGAGCAGTGTGATGCTGGGAACCAATCCCAGGTCCTCTGCCAGGTCTCTCCAGCCGCTTGTTGCTGTCTTGATGACAGGGGGGTTATGATTATTTGCCATTGATGTTTGCTTGTGTATGTTTTACTTGATATTTTTGATGGAGAGCCTGAGCAAAAGATTGTATAGTTGCTGAGAATAACATTCAGAGATCATCTGTGAGCCTGGAAGTTTTTAAACTGCTTTTCTTTCTTCCTTAAAAAAAATTTTTTTCTTACACTTCATGGTAATTAATGTGGTAATCATGCTAATTATGCATGTGTATATACTGTGACAGTTCAGTACACGAAGAAGATGTCCTGTAAGCAGATCAGGCTACCCGGTAGATCCATCACCTCAAGCTTAAGTCATTTCTTTGTGCTGGGAAGATTGCAGATCCTCTCTACAGGCTCTTATAAAATAATCACTTAATTGCTGCCAGCCAGCGTTACCCCACTCCATCACTCAGTTTTAAATGTGGTCTAATTTCCCTTGTGCCTTCTTAACTGCTCTTCTTGTGCTTATACGAAATACCAGACACGTGGCATAAACTTTTATGATCGTTTCAAGGTAACACTTCTCTCAGGTAAATAATGACGGAGCTTCCGTCTCCACTGGACTCCAGTAGGTTTCCTACGAGAGCATTCTCCCAGCTTGTCATTCCACTCTGGGACAGCTGATGTGTCTGTAAAACACAGACATGAGGTCAACCCTGAACTAGTTCTCTACTGTGTTGCTTGGTGTTGGCGTTTGAGCATGGGTGTTCTCTGGGGCCTTCAAGTGACTTTGTCTCCTCCTTCTCCATTTTAAACAGACGATTTCCCCAAACCCCAGATCACGGTTCAACCAGAAACGCAGTCCGCGATAAAAGGCTCCAACGTGAGTTTCACCTGCTCAGCTGCCAGCAGCAGTGACTCCCCGATGACGTTTGCATGGAAAAAAGACAATGAGCTGCTGCAGGATGCTGAAATGGAGAACTATGCACACCTCCGGGCCCAGGGAGGCGAGGTGATGGAGTACACCACCATCCTGAGGCTGCGCGGTGTGGAATTCGCCAGCGAAGGGAGATACCAATGCGTCATCTCCAACCACTTCGGGTCGTCGTACTCCGTCAAAGCCAAGCTCACCATAAACAGTACGTGATCCCCTTTCCTCCAGTGTCTCGGGATACCATTTAGAAACAGCTGCAGTGTCTGTCTGTTCCCCTACCGCCCTCTCTCCCGCAACCCCTGCTTTTCTTTCTCATAGTTTCTCACCTAACTACACAAAATCACTACTCTTTATTATTTGTCTCTAAAGCAATGGATTCACCTGTCTGAATGTGGCAGGATGAACCAGAATTAAAATGAGCCAGACACTTGTGCTCTCTCTGGGGTACGGTGGGATGTAGGTCCACACAGCATACTGCCTTTAACTCAGTTCTGGATGTGAAGACTGTCACTCCTGGTGTATAGTTATGACTCTCAATAACTGTCTTACCTTCGTACCTCTATCTTCCACTTAGAGGTGGGGGGTGGCTAGAGAGATGGATGACTCAGCAGTGACGAGCACTGTCTGCTCTTCCAAAGGACCCGGGTTCAATTCCCAGCACCCGCATGGCTGTTCACAACTGTCTAACTCCGGTTCCAAGGGATCTGACACCCTCACACAGTCACACATGTGCAGGCAAAGCACCAATGTACATAAAAATAAAGAGATGCTAAGTGCTACTTCCTAGAAATGTCATGATCCATAAATAAGATATGTGTGTATGTCAGTGGCTTGGCGCAGCGCCTTGGAGCTTGGGTAGTGCTCAGTAAATGCATTCATGGCAGCCACTGTTAAACGGTGGCACTGTAGCATCATTTGCGTGGCAGGTATACAATTCTACAATTCTAAGATTTCATTTTGGATGCTCTCCACTTTATCATTTTAACGGTTAAGGTCTGCCTAGTAGAAGAAGATGTGGAATAGGATTTATCAATGAATTCATTGAGCAGGCAATTGCTAAGGCCTGGCACATAGAAGAATTTAGAGTACAAAACAGGATAAAGTCACAAAATGTTAGGTCCTGCGGGACTGGGGGGAAAGAAATAGATGAAGCGAATGGTCATAGCACAGGGAGATTTATTGATTTGCCCAAGATCTCACACTTAATTATTGAGAAAACTAAAATACGGCTCCTGTGACCCGTGTGTCACTCTGATTCCATCACACCTGCGCTGGTGTAGCCCGGAGCGAGCTATTTCATTTCTCCATCTTAGTTCCTCTGTCTTAGAGCAATAACCCTGCCTTACGTAAGTCACGTGACTCCTCGAGTACCTAGGAGAGGAGCAGCCCCGGTCACACCTGCATGCCCTTTGTGATTTCAGTGTTACCTTCCTTCACCAAGACCCCCATGGACCTCACCATCCGTGCCGGGGCCATGGCCCGCCTGGAGTGTGCCGCCGGGGGACACCCGGCCCCACAGATAGCCTGGCAGAAGGATGGAGGCACGGATTTCCCAGCTGCCCGGGAGAGACGCATGCACGTGATGCCGGAGGACGACGTCTTCTTCATAGTGGACGTGAAGATTGAGGACATCGGGGTGTACAGCTGCACGGCTCAGAACAGTGCGGGGAGCGTTTCGGCAAACGCGACCCTGACCGTGCTAGGTGAGACGGGCATTTTCATAAGGCTCTGAGTCCCTCCTGAAGGCCCCCAACTCGCCCAGAGACCCTCCATGTTAGCAGCTGTTGAGGGACAGGGGCGGATGAAGACCCAGAGAGTTCTCTCTTCAAATGAACCAAGAGTCTCTGGGGAGCTTTGACCTCTAGGGGTCATTTGACATATTCAGGCCTGTGGCCAGGGAGATGAATCTGCCCCCTTCACTCTTGAGTACATTCTCCAGTGTTCTCTTTGTGGGTGGGGATTATTCACAGCCGTTGGTCATCTCAGTGCTATAAAGAACACGTAAGAAAATGTCTACAGACTGCTGGGGAAGACCCTTTCTCTCGGCTCCCCCTCCCGGAAGTCCCGGTTCTTACCACCTACCTAAACAGGAGGTGCTTGTCAGATTTGGAAGACGTTCGTAATTCACGTGTCTTTAAGAGAGTTACAGTAACCTACCGAGAGCCAGGTTGTAGAGGAGGATCTGCCAAGATTTTCATACAGACCTAGGTGTCTGGCATGAGAAACTTAATTAAAAAAAAATCAATTAGCATGGGCCTGGAGAGGTGGCTCAGTAGTTAAAGAGTGTGTTCCCAGCATCCACATTGTCAGTTCACACCTGCCTCTAACTCCAGCTCCAGGGAACCCACCTCCTCTGGCCTCCACAGGAATCTCTCCTGTGTTCACATTCCCACACACAGACACGTGCATGTCGTACACATAATTAAAAGTCATAAAAATAAATCTCTAGAGAGTTCTTTGCCTTCGTCCACATATCAACACAGTCTTGTGCGTGAAATTATTATTATTATTTTTTTACACATTTTCTAGACTTTAAAAAATGTTTTATCTTCCCACTACCAATTCACTAACCTTGGCAAGAATGAGGGAGATTGAGATAAAAACTCATAAATTTTACCCTTAAGTCGTGGGATGAGTGATGTGATCCAAGGTTACCTTGTCTGGGGCTCTTTAGTACGCTTGTCTGAGGAGCTGTAGGAGTACACAGTTTAAATAAATTCACCTGCTAGGTCTTCTGTGGAACCCGGTTTTCGCTTAGGAAATCCAAACCTTGTCCTTTCAGAGACACCATCATTTCTGCGGCCTCTGTTAGACAGAACTGTCACCAAGGGAGAAACGGCGGTCCTGCAGTGCATCGCTGGTGGGAGCCCACCCCCCAGGCTGAACTGGACAAAAGATGACAGCCCATTGGTGGTGACCGAGAGGCACTTTTTTGCAGCGGGCAACCAGCTGCTGATTATCGTGGACTCGGACGTCAGCGATGCGGGAAAGTACACGTGTGAAATGTCCAATACCCTGGGCACCGAGAGAGGCCACATGCGCCTCAGCGTGATTCCTTCTCCGACCTGCGACTCCCCTCACATGACCGCCCCATCCTTAGACGATGACGGATGGGCCACCGTGGGCGTCGTGATCATAGCCGTGGTTTGCTGTGTGGTAGGCACATCCCTCGTGTGGGTGGTCATCATCTACCACACACGGCGTAGGAATGAGGACTGCAGTATTACCAACACAGGTGTGTAAACACAAGCTTGGCCCCGGGGTGCGGCGGTCATGTGTGTTTGTGGCTTCGTAAGCATTCCCGTCCCGGCTGTGTCTCACAGTCTGAGCCTGTCTCAGAAGGGTGACTCATGGGCTGCAAGCTGCGGGGATACGGGTAGCTAAAAATTGCACCCACCCTGGAATAACGCTTGATGCAAAAAGATCGATCTTTTTTTTTTTTTAATTAAAACCTCATCAGGAAATCCTGATGGCTGAGAGGTAAAAATCCAAAGCACAGAGTGAAATAGCCCTTCTCCAGGATGGTCACGGGGAGGCAGGAGCCCCCAGGGGGTTGGCTCACCCTGCGGGTAGTAGTTCTTTATGTCCTGTGCACACATGCGCACACAGTGGATTTTGTAATGAGGGTTGACAGCAGACTCTGCCACTGATGAAATGGAAAGTGATCCAAGAGCTGGGTTCGTGTTTTTGAGGCGTTACCTTTTGAACATGCGGTTTTCAAATTTGGGCAGGGGTGTATTTCGTGGGTAATAAAGTCAAAATTAACTCATGGCCCAGAGCTGAAAAGCAGTCATGGGCCATCCCTGGTTTTTCCAGAGTAGATCTTCCTTTATGGATGATACAGAAACCAGAGCAGTCTGTACCCTATCCTGCCAGCGCCGGAAGCTGTGGGGCAAGGCTTGATGGGATGCTGTTGTTTGATTACAGATGAGACCAATTTGCCGGCCGATATCCCTAGTTATCTGTCGTCTCAGGGGACATTAGCTGACAGACAGGATGGGTACATCTCCTCAGAGAGCGGAAGTCACCACCAGTTCATTACGTCTTCAGGAGGTGGATTTTTCCTGCCACAACATGACGGTGCTGGTGAGTGTCTGAGATGTCCGTGGACAGTTGTTTTGAAGTCATGGGGGGATGTCCTAGATGCAATAGTAATTTCGGAAGAAATTGATAACAGTGATGAGGGCCTGGCCCAAGATTAGTAGCAAAACTACAGTTCTCTCCCTCTTCCCCCCTCCTCTTCCCTCCTCCCCTCCTCTTTTTCTTCTCTTCCCCTTCCCCCTCCCCCCTTTCTGTTTTTTTTCCAGAATGGACATTAAGGTTTTATTAAAGACTAGATACTGTGGAAAGACACACATGAGTAAGTTCTCAGAGAAAGGGAAGCGCCCCCTCTGAGTAGGAGTAGAAAGTCCTTTTATAGCTGCTCAGAGAATATGAGACCAATGCAAGTAAAACGTTAAAACACAGAACAAAGAAAGGGAAGAAAATAGTAGGAAATGGAAATCCCTCCCGTGCTTATGGGTTGGAAGAATTAATATTGAGGAAAATTGCTATAACCGTGAGAAGCTATCTACAGGTGCATGGTAGTCCCCACAAAATTCCAGTGTCAGGGCCCGGAGAGACGGCTCAGCTGTTAAGAGCACTTACTGCTCCTCCAGAGGACCTAGCTTTGATTCCCAGTGGCTCACAACTGCCTGTAATTCCAGCTCCAGGGAAATCTGCTCTCTTACGTGCAAGCTCCTGTGCACGCACACATGTGCGCATACACGCCCATTCTATATCCTTTTGTTAAATTCTTGAAAAACACTTTTTTTTTTTTAAATGGTAAAAGAAGAGTAGGCAAATTAGGTCAAATTTAATTTCTCTGAGGATGTCCTGTTTTCTTTACACTGTGATGTCCTGTGTTGGGAGTTTCTTGCATAATGTCAGAGGCCAGGTGGCTTCAAGACTATGGGGGGGGGGGGTTGGGGGGGGAGCGGATGTCATACATGGTGCCTTATGTTTTTTGAGACTAAAGATGGAGGAAGCCAGGTGCAGGAGCATCTCAGCCCAGACCCATTCCCTGTGTTCACAGGCAGTTGCAGCACTTCCCAGACAGGTGGTTTAAAGGAAAAAAAAAAACTACGTACACAGTGCTTGGCACATGCCACGGCCTCTGCATGGCAGAAACTCCTGGGGCTTTTCTCAGCGTTTTAACTTTTACCACCGTCCTTTATGGAGCGTCTATATTTGCTCTATACCAGACTGCGTAGTCGGAAAGGAAGCATACTTGTTTTCAGCTTCAGAACTTAGTCCGCGGTGAGGTGGATACTCAACCCAAAGAATCTAAAAGAAAGAGAGACAAGCTAACTGTGAAGATATACTAGGAAAGACAGTCAGAGCAGAGGCAGCAGACCCAAGCACAGAGTGAGTGTCAGGGTTGGCTATGGTGATATTTTATTTGTATTAAAATGTTATTTGTATGTTAATAAATAAAGTTGCCCGGGGTCAGAGCTATTAGCAAGCCATAGGAAAGCAGGGCAGTGGTGGCGTACGCTTGTAATCCCAGCACTTGGTAGGCAGAGCTGGGTAAGTCTCTGTGTGTTCAGGGATACAGCCATTATTGGATACACATGCCTTTAATCTCAATACCAATCATGGAAAACCTGGAGGCCTATACAGACAGGCTGTGACGAGGCGTTCATGTAGTTGGGTTTACAACCAATGAGAAGGCAGAACAGGAACTCTATATAAAGACTTTAACACAGGGGTAGCTCTGGTTCAGAGAGGTAGGACCACCGCAGGAGGAAGGGTAAGGTTTTAGCTCTTAGCTCTGACCTCTTGGCTTTCTTCTTTGCATTGGTTCTGTGTTTCTTATTTAATAAGAAGGTTGGTTACATCTACAGTTGGCCAAGAACAGAGACCCAACCTCAGTCAGGTATAGTGAGACTAACTGAGAACTCCTTAAGAGACAGGGCTGAGGCATAGAAGTGACAAGCTGGCCTGGGAAGGTGGTACCCTCCCAGAGCAGCTCCAGGGGCCCCCAATATCGATGATCTACAGGGCGTTTCTCTCTTAGACCACAGGGCGTCCATCCTCGGCTTCCATGGCAACTCGAAGGAGACCCTGTCTGTAATCCTCCAACTGCTATGTCCACTGCTAACTGTTGTATGGTTCCATGATGTTTTGGGTTTGGTTTGGTTTTTCAAGACAGCGTTTCTCTGTGTAGTTTTGGAGCCTGTCCTGGATCTCGCTCTGTAGACCCGGCTGGCCTCGAACTCACAGAGATCCACCTGGCTCTGCCTCCCGAGTGCTGGGATTAAAGGCGTGTGGTTTAATTGAACGACCAGGAGATGTTTTGGTTCGGCTTGGTTTCTTTGACTCAGCTTTGAGGCGGGACACTAAGAGATTGTTAGTCAACTGTCAATCCCTGAGTCCAGTCATCTGGAACATTTTACAGGAAGGTGGTAGTGCTGAGCGTTCAAACCATGGCCCTACGCATAGAAGATCCTTTCCCCTTAGAATCCAGATGGGCTAGCAATAAGGTTGGCACACCTAGCTCAAAGGCTTATCAGGACTTACTATAGCTGCCCTGATGGGTAGAAACATTTACTATCTGGACTCCAGGGTAGCTTAAATGAACCATTACAAGCCCAGCACATGGGCCTTAAGAAATTAGCAAAAAAAAAAAAAAAAAAAGAAAAGAAAGAAAATCTTATGTACGTGTGTACTTTTTCTTTCTTATCACATTCTAGCCAAATTTTCTTCTGTAAATCTGGGAAATCAGAACCAGAGAGAAGGTGGAATGGCATTTAATACAGTTTAGTGACTGAGATTTGTGTCTTAAAGGGACATGCCATATTGACAACAGCAGTGAGGCCGATGTGGAAGCTGCCCCTGATCCGTTCCTCTGCCCCTTTGTGGGCTCCGCGGGCCCTGTGTACTTGAAGGGGAGTGTCTATGGCCCAGATCCATTTGAAGTTTATCTTCCAGGTATGGCTTTCTTGATTGACTAGAGTTCTGTTCTCTGAAAAGACTTGGAGGCATGCTAACTGTATCTCCTTCTGTTGTGGGTCCCAACTCGAAAAGGTTGCAGTTCTGACCCCAGGATAGCCTTGATGGACCACTGTGAGCCCAGCTACATGAAGAAGGACTGCTTCCCGTGCGCTCATCCCTCAGAGGAGCCCTGTGATCGGAGCCTCAATAGCATCCCGTGGCCACACTCAAGAAAGCTCATGAACTCCATGTACTCTCAGAATGAGGGACCTGCCGTTCAGACCCTGTGTTTAAACAAGTCCTCTTTGGATTTTAGTGCAAGTCAGGAACCGGGATCAGTTACTTCAAGTAACTCTTTCATGGGTAAGTTTATCAAGCTGGGAATCAATCGCCTTGCTTCTCTGACTCACAACTCCATCCTGCTTTGGACAATGGTTTCATTTCTAATGTTACTGTGGTATCCTCTGGATTGCAGATGTTTCTGAAGTGCATTCGGGGCTGGGAATTGTGTGTGGTTATGTATTTAATCTGTACCTAAGCCCCAGGAGCTTTCTGGGTTATGCTGTGTGTGGCATGTAGGAGACCAGAGTTTGGGGAATGACTTAGGAGCTGAGCTTGTCAGTCATGTGGAAAAAGTGGTTTTGGGTCCCGGCAGCCTGAGGGGTGGAGCTGTGTTCTCTCCATGGTTGTGGTTTCGTACGTCTGGTGGCTTCTAACTGAACTCACAGTGGAAGCCGGGAAGGCAGCACCCTACCTCGCCTGGCTTCAGACCGGTTGAGATAATCTTGGGGAGAGGCCCGCAGCACTCACAGCGAAAGCCGGTGCCATTAAATAACGACTAGTACCTCAGGTGGATTGTGATTTTTTTTTTTTCCGGTCTCGTGTGTGGGAACAGTTGGAGGGAAGAACCGAGAGTGAATGAATGCTCTTTTTACTGAGGGAAGCAATCAGAAAACAGGCCTCCACATGCCCCAGTGTGCTCTAGTGTCCTTGGTTTGTTTTTAAAAGGAAAATTCCAAACCGTTTTCCTTAAGCGTTTAAGAAATTTTACCTGTTGTTCCAGTATGGTTATGTATATACCTTCCCGAAGGGGAGGGGAAGAAATGAAAGCACGTTTTGTAGAACTAGGGTAGAAGTTTTAGTTGATTGGTTGATGTTTTGCTACAGTTGAAGAAAGGGCAAGACAAGAGTCTGTGGAAAGACACTGGCTGAGTATTGTGCAATCGCCCTTCCTGGAGATTCATGGGCTCACAGATCCGCAAGCCAGGGCTCCGGGACCATTTTTCAATTGACAGACTTCAAGAACGTCAGTGTTCAGTGACTAATGTTACTAAGGGTCATGAGAAAACATTAAAATGGATTGATTTATTTGGTGGTTTTGAATAAGCAGGTGTGCAGGTGTTCTGTGCATAGTATTCTGTGACAGTCTAATATTCCGTAAATAGTGTATCCACAGCGCACACCTACACCTGCACAGGACTCTGGGGAAAAAAACTTATTCACGTTCGTGGAAGCATGCTCGCTCTTTTCGGTGTGTTCATTTCTGTGCTGGCAAAAGGCCCCACGTGCTCATGGGAATTTCTTCCCTTGCAGGTACCTTTGGAAAACCTCTGAGGAGACCTCACCTGGATGCGTTTTCGAGCTTTGCGAAGCCACCGGACGGTCAGCCAAGGCCCTTTCATGTGAAAGCGATTTCCTCTCCCGAGCTGGACTCTGAGTCAGAGGAGGATGAGAAAGACAGGACAGATTTTCGGGAGGAGAATCACAGGTGTACTTATCCACAGATATTAGACACTTACAGGACTCCAGACTGCCAGCCTTATGACTCGGGCACATAGACTGGACGGGAACAGGAAAATCGACACACTACCTCATCTGGGCTTCTATTGAAGAGACACAGAATCGAATCCTATGTTTTTAAATGGACTTACAAAGTTTAAAAAAGGAAAAAAAAAAAGCTTTATTTATACAGATGAACCAAAATTACAAAAAGTTATAAAAATTTTATACTGGGAATAACTTTCATATAAAAATGCATTTTTAAAAAGTATTTTATAACTTCGTTTTATATGAAAAATATCTTATGTAAATTAATGGCATAAGTCCATGACTATTTTATGTATTTTTATAAAGCCAGATTTCTTTTTATTGAGAATGAGTACTAAAGCCTTTTAAATAATCCTGCCTTACCCCTCCCCCCCTTTTTTTTTTGGATAGAGGCCACTTCATTCTCTTTTGCACATTACATTTAATAAAATGTGTCATTTGGTGCCAAGCCCCATTTATACAATAATAGATTTTACCGTTTTCAATGCGTTTTGGACCTATTTCATTTGTATTATCACATGTCAGATGAATTAAAAGTTAACGTATTAAAGTACAGCCAGGGGACCCATTCAGCCCACCCCCACGCCCTGGATGGTTACAAGACAGACGTCACGTGATTCGCAGCCACACGCGCTCCAGGAGAAGGAGTTGCAGCCATCAGAGGTGTATTCCTAACCTCACAAACAGAAGAGGATACAGCCGTCCGGTCACAACTGTCACTTAAATGACTCCACAATCCATGTTTCCTTAATAATGCTAATGCCTTGTGGTCCAGCACCTAATGTCTCTCGCAGGAGTTCCCCACCCACCATGGCTTGTGTTATAGCCAGAAGGCTCTTTATCTCCGGTCTCTGCTGTGGAAAGGGCCACAGAGAAGGTGAGCTTTCACCCACAGTTGCTGTGGGATGTCATCCCACTCTTTCCTGCCCCTACTAGTCTTCACTGGATGTGGTTGGTGTACCCATAGTGGCGTGGTTGGGCTGTGCACAGTGTTTCTAAAGTATTTTGAAGCATTTTTTTTTTCTAATGAACATATTTTACTGACTTTGTCGTGCCAACTCTACTTCGTTGAAATTTAAGATATTGAACCTGTCACTTCAACACTTACAATCTTTTAAGGTGTTTGTCTCAAACAGTATGAAGGGAGAATGCCACATCCCAAGCTCATGCACGAAAGAGGGGAGATTTTCAACACTACCCTCACTGCAAGCAACAGAGTAGATAAACTTACTACACTTGAAGTCCCTGGGGATAAAACTGGACATTTATCCTTAGGAGACTCTTGCTGGTGTGTGCCATTTAAAGAAAACACTCCGGCCCAAGATAAGTTGCCATGACAGGAGTTAGTGTAGCAGTACTGAATTTAAAAAATCAAAACCTGAAGACATGTGGGTTTCAGCCATTTGCATTTTTTTTTTAAAGTAAACTAAAAATAGTACTTGGGAAAGCGGGATCTTCTTCGAGGACACGGTGGAGGTAAGGTCTTCCTGCTGGGTGTCCTTCTCTATTGAGAGTCAGGAGCCCAAACCTAGATCACAGGAAGCTTCCCCTTTCATTTAGACCTTAGAATCTAAGACAGGAAGTGCATCCCTCCATGGACAACCAGCGACTAGTAGAAGTGATTTCCTGTGCTTTGTCTTTATCAAACTCAGATAAATTTTGAACTCTTACTGTGAATTTGTCTACATTGTTACCTGACATGCTCCGAACATGGACTTCTTAATTATGAACTTCTTTTGAAGGAGTTATTTTTTTTTTCAAAATTTGGTAGAAAAGTTTAAGTCAACAACTTAAACTGAAATGCTGGATTATTGGGTGAATCAGATGGCTCAGCAGGGAAGAACCCTTGTTGATTTCATAGAGGGCCCAGGTTCAGTTCCCAGCACCTGCATGGCTGTTCACAACTGTAACTCTAGTGCCAAGGATGTCTGATGCCCTCTTCTGGTGTTACAAGCACCAGACGTACACAGTGCACAGACGTGCTTGTAGGCAAACTCACACATGAAATAAAAAGAAGTCTTTCTTAACACAAGGTAAAACTGGGTTCTTCAATGTGATTTTACTGTGCTGGTTGGCCAAACTTGTGGATCAGATATGAATCTTATCTGTCTAGAAAAAGGAGAACCCAGTTCCTCTGACATCAGTAAGAAGAGTGTACACTATGTTAATACCTCCCATCGGATGAACAAATATGTAGATATTAAGTTCTAAAATAATATAAAGGTAAGGGTGAATCTTAAATCCCTTGGTCTGCCCATTTTATTTTTGTGATGTTGGGGGTCGAACGCAGGTCCTCAATCAAGTGCCTTTTCACTGAGCTGTACCTCCAACCTAAAGTTTGGTTTATTTCTAAGTAGAATTCTTAAACTTTTAGCATAGCTTTCTTGTTTTCTGGTAGAAGATCACACCTCATACAAACATATCTTCCTAGATGTTCATAGACCTTCGGTATCTTTCTTCATCCTACTCTTGATGCTAAAGAGATTTATTATGTGTGATCTTGACCTGTTTAAGATCTTGGGATAGCTCTCAATAGCATCCACAACTAGATGTATGGTTTTCATTGTCTTCCTACAGAAGAAAGGCACAAATGATTTCTCAGAGCAGAGCTGGTCAGTACCTTTCGAATATTGGTAGAAAATGGAAAGCGGCTTGGTCTCCACACCCTCTCGGTGATGAGAGAGAAATAACTGGAAGCCAGTGTCACAGATGTGCTGTGCTGCGATGCCTCTGAAGACTGAGAACTGAACGTCATGGCAGCACATCCCCTCTGTCTCCCCCGGTCTCAGGATCTGAAATGACGAGACTTGTGCAATAGGATAATTTGGAACTTGTAATTTTCAACACTCGGAAGAACACAGTGCCCTGTTCCTCCCAAACAAAATCAGTCTTCAAAGAGAGGACCACTCCTTCATGAATGACTCCAGAAATATCTAGTTACCAGAACTTCTCTTTCTTAACAAGGCATTCCTTAAATCTGTGTCACACAAGGATATGGTAACGGCTCCGAGAGATTTCAAATGTGACCTAAAAACCATCGGTACATTCTTTTAATAGATTCACTAGAGGGTGTGCACACATGCATTTATAGAGTTATCCCAATATCTGGAGTCAGTTGTCTTCCTTTTATTCTTTAAGAAATTTGATATTGGATAGAGTATCTTTGGCAAAAAAAAAAAAGTTTCATTTTGTTGATAATTGATTTTCATAGTTTGATGTTTTTTTGATAATTGATCAAATCCACCCTTACTGTAAAAATTTCAGGTTCACTTTTCTTCCTACTCACTTCATTTAATGCCAGGGATCTGATGCTTGAACTTAAATTCTATATCATCTATCCACCAATGAAGAAAAAGTTTAGCCAATACTCATGCAGCTTTTTATTGCGTTTACATTATTAAAGATTCTTAAGAATGAAAGTCATCCACGACTGTTCCAAGCTAGTTCTTAGATTTTGTCTACGATTCTTTTCTCCTTTTCATGCATCTTCGTTGGGCTTTCATGGCTGACTTTGTTTTATTTAGCTTAATGTCGTAGGTCCGGTTTGAAGACAGCACCTAATATCATGATGAGGTTATTACCATGGTTTTCATGAAGTTGGTTTATCTACTTTTTATTGTTTTTCATGTTTTTGCAGAGTAGTTTTGTTTGTTTGTTGTATTTGTTTATTTTTTATTTATTTGCTTATTAGGGGTGTGTGTGTGTGTGTGTGTGTGTGTGTGTGTGTGTGTGTGTGTGTGTGTATGTGTGTATGTGTGTTGAAATACTGAACTGAGCTAGGTGAGTGCTTTCCCAGGAGCTACATCCCTAGGCCCATTAGTGATTGGTCTCTTTTTTCTACACACGGCCTTTTTGGTCTGTCTTCAGATCAGAGCTGAAATTTGGCAGCAGCCCACTCATTTGCCCAACTTTATATACATAGTTCTGTATTTTTCCCAGGTTAATCAGTGGACAGAGGGAGTTTCTCAGTTATGTAACTGGCATGGTCACACGCTACTCTTTCTTGCCCAGTAAGCCTCTGTGGCTGGCACTGATTTTGTACCTAAAACGTTTGCGTTCTCACCAAGCAAACTGGAGTGTCACATGACCTTTGAGCAGCAGGGTGGCTGAGGCTGTTGGCTCTGTGTATCCACCTGCCCAGCGCAATCCCAGCTCAGGTTCTGCCTTGTTTAATCACCGTCCGTCATCACCGTTCCTGCTGATTTTGCACCTGAGTTTTCTCAAGGTCTTCCATGCCTCTCTCCTGGGATCCCTTGGCGGCGCCTGGAGCTCCGGCTCTTACCTGTCTCTGGTAGCGGTGACGTAGCAGGTCTCGTTCCTTGCTTTATTCAGTCCCTTGTCTTCACTATTACCAGAAATACCGTTCTAACGTGGATCTGAATGGATCCAGTGTCTGTTGAAACCCTCCAGTGGTTAACTTTAAATCCTGGTTACGGAATAACTGGGTGATCCCCACGCTACCATCTCGCCCGTGCCCTCCCCTCTCCCCAGAGCGCTCTCAGTCTTCCAACTCTAGTTTTTGCCAGCCTCAGCACAGTGTCCACTCACTGCCTTTCTGCTGATGCCTTTACCTGCGAAGCCATGTCATCAGCCCTGTAATATTTATTCTAAAATAAATACTTATTCTTTTTATTTATTTTTGCTTTGTTTTGTTTTTTTTTTTTTTTTTTTTTGAAACAGGGTTTCTCTATGTAGTTTTGGAGCCTGTCCTGGATCTCACTCTGTAGACCAGGCTGGCCTCGAACTCACAGAGACCCGCCCGCCTCTGCCTCCCGAGTGCTGGGATTAAAGGCGTGCGCCACCACCGCCCGGCTAAATATTTCTTCTTAAAATAAATATTCCCTCAAATTCCTACGTTGGACACAAATAATTATCTCCCAAATTGTTTTTCCTCATCGTTCACCGGGCAGGCCTCTCCAGGGCCAGCCTGTGGTTTTATCACAAGGATGGTAGCCTTTCTCCTCTCTTGCTCCTGAGCCACCGTGAGAAACCACAAGAAAGTAGTTGTCCTTGAAGCTGTCTGGGATGCCTGACAAGCACTAAGTACAGTCAACCTGTATGCCAATAAGGTGGTTTCAACCCAAATAAATAAGTGAGAGTGACATGGTTTGGATCTAGTAGTGTCCCCAAGGGCCTGTGTGTTGCAAGCTTGGTCTTGAGTACAATAGGAGGCGGTGAGTCTGTAAAAGGTGGGGCCCAGTACAAGGTGACTGAGTCACTGTGGACATCCTCAGGAGGAACTGTTAGTTCCCACAGAGAAGAGTTGCTTCAAAGAGCTTGGCTAGCCGTCCCCATGCTCTGGTTTCCTGTCTTGCCTTGTGACCCTACACTTGCTCCCATCACCGTGGTGGCGGTGTCCGCCCCCTTCACCAGAGCCTGCTCTACGTCCTTCAGATGCCAAGCCACGAACGAGGTCAACTGCTTTTCTTTGTAAGCGCCCAGCCTCCATATTTCATTGCAGCACCG